CACCGCAACCTCCGCCTCCTGGGTTCAGGCAATTCTCCTGCCTCAGCCTCCTGAGTAGCTGGGATTACAGGCACGCACCACCATGCCCAGCTAATTTTTTGTATTTTTAGTAGAGACGGGGTTTCACCGTGTTGACCAGGATGGTCTCGATCTCTTGACCTCGTGATCCACCCGCCTCGGCCTCCCAAAGTGCTGGGATTACAGGCTTGAGCCACCGCGCCCGGCTGAGGAAGAGTCTTGCTTTGTCACCCAGGCTGGAGTGCAATGGCACGATCTCGGCTTACTGCAACCTCTACCTCCTGGGTTCAAGGGATTCTCCCGTCTCAGCCTCCAGACTAGCTGGGATTACAGGCATCCACCATCATGCCTGGCTAATTTTTGTAGAGATGGAGTTTCACCATGTTGGCCAGGTTGGTCTTGAACTCCTGATCTCAGGTGATCTGCTCCCCTTGGCCTTCCAAAGTACTGGGATTACAGGCATGAGACACCACACCCGGCCCAAAATATCTTATTTCTAGTAACTGGCCAGTGGATAAAAATATATATTATCTTAGACTGAGTAATGGTTAAGCAACATAAATGTATTTCTTACAGTTCTTGAGGCTGGGAAGTCCAGGTCAAAATGCTAGCAGATTTCATGTTTGGTGAGGGTTCTCTGCGTTACAGATGGTGACTTCTATGTGTCCCCAAGTGGCAGAAGGGGCAAACAGCCTTCTTCAAGCCTCTTTTATAAGGGCACCGTGATGGTTAATACTGAGTGTTAACTTGACTGGTTTGAAGGATACAAAATATCCTGGGTATATCTTTTGAGGGTGTTGCCAAAGGAGATTAACATTTAGAATCAGTGGGCTGGGAAATCACCTTTAATCTAGATGGGTACAATCTAATCAGCTGCCAGTGAGGCTAGAATATAAGGAGGCAGAAAAATGTGAAAAGAGAGACTGGCCTAGCCTCCCAGCTACATCTTTCTCCCTTGCTGGATGCTTCCTGCCCTTGAACATTGGACTACAAGTTCTTCAGTTTAGGAACTCAGACTGGCTCTCCTTCCTCCTCAGTCTACAGGCAGCCTATTGTGAATCATGTGATCATGTGAGTTAATACTTAATAAACAGTCCTTTATATATATATATTTCATTAATTCTGTCCCTCTAGGGAAGCCTAATAGAGGCACTAACCCCATTCATAAGGGCAGAGCCCTAATAACCTCCTAAAGGCCCCACTTTTTAATGTTATTACATTTAGTATTGAGTTTTAACATACGAATTTTTGGGTGGGAACACAAACATTTAGACCATAGCACCTACCGTTCTCATTTTCCTATAAAAATTATTTTTAAGGGCCACATAGTGGCCATTGCATCATTGATTTATCCAAGTCCCTGTTGTTGAATATTTCGGGAGTTTTCAATATTTCATTATTTAAAAAATGCTATGGTGAGACTGGGCGCGGTGGCTCATACCTGTAATTCCAGCAGTTTGGGAGGCCGAGGTGAGCAGATCACCTGAAGTCAGGAGTTTGAGACCAGCCTGGTCAACATGGCAAAAGCCTGTATCTACTAAAAATACAAAAATTAGCTGGGCGTAGTCGTGCACACCTGTAGTCCCAGCTGCTCTGGAGGCTGAGGCATGAGAATCACTTCAACCCAGGAGGCAGAGGTTGCAGTGAGCCAAGACTGAGCCACTGTTACTCCAGCCTGGGTGACAGAGTGAGACTCTGTCTCAAAAAAAAAAAAAAAAAAAAAAAAAAGGCAATGGTGATACCTTTGCTTGATTCTTTCTGGTAACTATGCAGAAGAAGGGATGTATGGTTTTTGGCCCTGCTCAGCCTTCTGGGCTCTTGAGTTCCTAAGACAGTGTGCTACACTGAGATGGATCTCAAGGTGGGAGACAAAAATCTGAGTTCCAGTCATGCTTCTGCTCTGTTTCCAGGTGATGCTGGGGACCGCTCTTCCCTCTGTGGGCCTTTATTTCCCCATCTGTGAAAGGAGAGCTTTAGAGGGAGTGAACTCAAGATGCCTTTTCTGTTGTGGATTTCTCCATCTCCATTATGGCCTTCCTCAGGGCTGTGTGTGTGTGCACACGCTTAAGCGTGTGTTTCAATTTCTATTCTTAGCAACGTGATCTTTAAACAAGGAATAGATTTGTGCTTCTGTCTCATCTCAGATGCATGCAGCTCCTGCTGGGCTGTTTCATTCTCTGCCAGCCATTCATTCACGTTAAAAGCAATGGCCCATTAAGGAAATAAGTGGATGATGCTCCTCCATCACCCTTAATAAGTATTGCAGGCTCTGATCTGGGGGCTTGGCCTTCTTTGGCCACCAGATCTTGGCTCTGTCTATGTGCTATAGATGAGGTCAGGGGAGTCTTGATTTTAGCATCTCCCTCTCCACTCTTCCCTCAGATCCTGTCTCTGGGATGGCCCAGGGATGCTGTTTGGTCAATATTGGTTTTTAAAGATGATGAGTAATCAACAATCCAAATGAGACGGGTCATTGTTTGTCCTGAAATAAAGAGTGGACAGGGATGTATACCCTTCTCTGAGTTCTTGCTGTGGTGGTGTCTTAGAGTCACTTTATTTTTTTGAGACAGAGCCCTGCTCTGTTGCCCAGGCTGGAGTGCAGTGGTACAATCTCAGCTCACTGCAACCTCTGCCTCCCCGGTTCAACTGATTCTCCTGCCTCAGCCTCCTAAGTAGCTGGGATTATAGGCACACACCACCATGCCCAGCTAAATTATTTTGTATTTTTATTAGAGACGGGATTTCACCATGTTGGCCAGGCTGATCTTGAACTCCTGATCTCAGGTGATCCACCTGCCTTGGCCTCCCAACGTGCTGGGATTACAGGTATGAGCCACCACATCTGACCGTCACTTTAAATATTTAATATACAAATTCAGATTCTAAGTCTGCATCCTCAGAGGTTCTCATTTAGCAGGTCTGGGGAGAAGCCCAGTTTCTTCATTTTAAAAGATACTACAGGCTGCCTTTCATGTTCGAATAGGAAAAAATAAATAAATAAAATACACTACAGGGGACTTGGAAGCACATCCTTCGTGGAGAACATTGCCGTATAGTAGTAGGATTTGCAAGCTCTTAAAGCTCACTAAAGCCAGGCAGGTAACAAATGGGTGGTGTATGAGAGAAGAGTGCTGGTGACTCTGATGAACAGGAGGATCTTATGTTCTCTTAAAGGCAGTCAGTACTTAGCTTTAGCTAGTTGTTGCCAGATAACACCAGTCCAGTGTTGCTAGATATTCCACTTAACTTTCCCAAGAAGAGTTAGAAATCCAGATTTGTGAAATATCCTATTTTTAATATCAGCAACCAATTCAAAATTTAAACAAAAAATTTGAATTGTAGGCCAAAACATATGCACTGGCCAGATCTGGCTCTGAATTCTGCCTGTTGAAATCTCTTGACAACACTTTAGCTAAACAATCACTCAATTTAAGTCAAAATGATGCAGTCAACAGCTCTCTTGACTGGCAGCATCACACTGCCTCCCTCTGCGATGTGAGGCTCTCTGGGGTTCTGGATAACACCCAGCTTGGCGTGGGGCAAAGTGCTCTGAGCAAGGGAGTCAGGAGACCTATTTCCTAATCCTTGCTAACAACTTGCTAGGTGACATTGGGAAAGAAATTCTCCCCCTTGCCACAGGATTTCTTTGTATAAAGTAAGGGGGATGATCTCTACTGTTCTTTCTAAGGTTCTAGATCATTCTTTTCATGAAGATTTATGTACTTACTGTCAGCTACTTGAAAAGGAAACTTTTCAGATTAAGCTGAAAATTCACCTTTAATTGGCTTGAGTGACAACTAGTTCTTCCTCTTCCATATTCTCCTGTGTGTCTTCAGTGATTTGTGTTTGCAGGGAAGTTTCTTTTCATTGTATGCTTTTGGGGGCATTTTCTAAGGGAAAGAGCTCATTTTAGAATAGAAAGTCTGGGTGGGGTGGAGCATATGGACTTTTTGTTTGCTGAATACTACGTTTTGAGTCAAATAAAAAAGTAAAGGAATAGAGTTAATATGGAGAACATACTGAAGTAAAAAGCCACTTCCTTGAACTTCACAGTTCAAATAAAACCTTGCAATTGAATCTTTTTTTCTTGTTACTTCTCTGAGATATAATTCACACAATAAAATTCACCCATATAAAGCATACAATCCAATGTTTTTAGTATATTTACAGAGTTGTGGAATCAACACCACTATCTAATTTCAAAACATTTTCAACTCCTCAAAAAGAAACCCCATACTTGCTATTGGTTGCTGTAGTTCTGGCAACCACAAATCTGCTTTCTGAATCTATAGATTTGCCTATTCTGGACCTTTTATATAAATGGAATTATATAATATGTGGTCTTTTGGGTCTGTCTTCTTTCATTTAGCATAATGTTTTCAAAGTTTATCCATGTTGTAGCATGTATCAGGACCTCATTCCTTTTTATTGCCAAATAATATTCTATTGTGTGGCTATATGACATTTTGTTTATCCACTCATCAGCTGAGGAACAATTGTTTCCACTTTTTGGTTATTACATATAACAACACTATGAACATTCACAAACAAGTTTTCATGTGCCTATATGTCTTCATTTCTCTCAGGTATAGATAAGTAGGAGAGTAATTGTCAGGTTGGATGATAACTCTACATTTAATCTTTTGATGAACTTACATACAGTTTTCCAAAGCAGTGGCATCATTTAACACACCTGCCCACAGTGTATGAGGGCTCCAGTTTCTTCACATCTTCATCAACACTTATATAATCTGTCTTTTTAATTTTAGTCATCCTTGAGTATGTGAAGCAGTATTTCAATGTACTTTTTTTTTTTTTTGAGACAGGATCTCGCTCTTCACCCAGGCTGGAGTGCGGTGGCCTCAATCTCGGCTTACTGAAACCTCCGCCTCCTGGGTCCCAGTCATCCTCCTGCCTCTGACTTCCAAAGTGCAGGGATTACAGACAGGAGCTGCTACAATTTTATTTTGCTTACGATTTTGTGGGTCAAATGTTCAAGAAGGGCGAGGAGTGATGGATCATGCCTGTAATCCCAGCACTTTTTTTTTTGAGCCCGCTCTGTTGTCCAGGTGCGAGTACAGTGGCACAAACTTGGCTCACTGTCACTTCTGTGTTCCAGGCTCAAATATCCTCTCACCTCAGCCTCCGGAGTGGCTGGGACTACAAGCACGTGCACCACCACTCATGGCTAATTTTTGTAATTTTTTGTAGAGATGGGATTAGTCATGTTGGCCAGGCTGGTCTGGAACTCCTGGGCTCAAGTGATCTGCCTACCTTGGCCTCCCAAAGGTTGGGATTATAGGCGTGAGCCACTACAATTTTATTTTGCTCACGATTTTGTGGGTCAAGTATTCCAGAAGGGCTGTGAGTGCTGGTTCATGCCTGTAATCCCAGCACTGTTTTTTTTTTGAGCTGCTCTTTTGCCCAGGTGATAGGGCAGTGGCACAAACTTGGTTCACTGCAACTTCTGCGTCCCAGGCTCAAGTGATCCTCCCACCTCAGTCTCTGGAGTAGCTGGAACTACAAGCCTATGCCACCACTCCTGGCTAAATTTTGTATTTCTAGAAGAGATGGGTTTAGCCATGTTGGCCAGGTTGGTCTGGAACTCCTGGGCTCAAGCGATCCACCCGCCTGGGCTTTCCAAAGTGCTGGCATTATAGGTGTGAGCCATCGCTCCCAGCAATCCCAGCACTTGGGGAGTTTGAGACCAGCCTGGTAACATAGGGAAAACTTGTTTCCAAAAAAAAAAAAAAATTACCTGAGCATGATGGCATGTGCCTGAAGTCCCAGCTGCTAGTGAGGCTGAGGTGGAAGGATCACTTGAGTTCAGAAGTTGGAGGCTTCAGTGAGCCATGATTGTCCCACTGCATTTCAGCCTGGGTGACAGAAGGATCTTGTCTTTCAAAAAAGACAAAATTAAAGTGTGTGTGTGTGTGTGTGTGTGTGTGTGTGTATATATATATATATATATATATATATATATATAAAATTCAGGAAGGGCTGGGCTGGGTAGATAGTTCTTGCTTGGGGTCTCTCACACAGTTGCAGTCAGACACTAACAGGGGATGCCATCACTGGAAGGCTCCATTGGGCTGAGTGTCCAAGATGTCTCACTCAGATGGCTGACAGGTGATGCTGGTGATCTCGTGGGAGCTCAGTGGGAATTTTTTTTTTTTTAATTGACATGTTGCTCCTGGCCATCAGTGAGAATTTTGACTGGCATGCCAACATGTGGCCTCTGTAGCATGGCAGTCTTATGGTTGTCAAACTTTGTTTCTCCCGGAGTGAGAATACCAAGAGAACAGTTACATGGCCTCTTCTGATCTAGCCTGGGAACTTAGGCAGCATCCCTTCTGCTGCATTCTACTGGTTCCAAGTGAGTTACCAGGTAAATCCAAGAACTTGTAGTCATGTTCCAAAATTGCTGTAAATGCTTCCTGTGTACCAGCACTGTTTTATGTGCTTATTTAATTCTTATTAAAAACCCCATGAGGCCAGGGCAGTGACTTACACCTATAATCCCAGCACTTTGGGAGGCCGAGGCAGGAGGATTGCTTGAGGCCAGGAGTTCAAACCCTCACACTCACACTCCTCATATCCAATTACTGAACATTTGTCACCCACAAACATAGCAACTATGACACTGTACTGACACATACAAAATCTGTTACATTCCGTCTTCCCCATGCAAGCTCAATCACTGTGACTTATTCTCCATGCTCACCCACTGTCCCATTCTTCACACTGTCACAAGCACATGCCCATCACACACTCAATTACTGTGACACAGCTCTAATCCTCAATCACTGTCACATACTGTTTTTCACACAAGTATGGTCACCATCTGTACTTTTAAAGCACGGTGTTTACTCTCCTATAAAACTGAGTTAATATGCCAACAGCTCTATTTTTCACACAAGCCGTCACATATTGTATTTTTCCACCCACACAATCCCTGACATACACAATTAGGGTCACACACTCTTACTGCTTTCGTCCCACTCCCAGCTGACACCCACTCCCACACTCGCTCACTGGCTAGGAATTGGAGTAGCTTGTCCGTGGGGTTCTGAAGCCTGGGTCACCTCCCGAATCTCAGCCCCAAGCAGCGTGGCCCCGCCCCTCCCCGCCTCCTCATGCATATGCAGCACCTCAGCCTGGCAGCCCGGCCCCCAGACGGCCATTTGTGGCGGCGCTGGAGGCTGCGTTCGGCAAGCGCTGCGGAGACGCGTAGAGGAGCGCGCCCCCCGGCCGCTGCCGCCACTGGCCCGTGCCGTCACCCCACTTCTCCGCGCCTCGGGCGGTACCCAGCCAGCTCCTGGCGCCGCGCCGGCGCGCAGACCTGCTCTCCCGATACCTCCCGCTACCCGCGACCCGCGCCCGGCCGCTCGCCCGCTGCCCGCCGGCTGCACACGTCCCCGGAGCCGGGCCTAGGGCGGGCGGCAGCGGCGGCTTGGCGCGGTCAGGCTGGGCTCTGTGGCGTCCCCATGGCCGCGGCCGGCTGGCGGGACGGCTCCGGCCAGGAGAAGTACCGGCTCGTGGTGGTCGGCGGTGGCGGCGTGGGGAAGTCGGCGCTCACCATCCAGTTCATCCAGGTACCTGGAGCGGGCCTGCCGGGGGCGCCCGGGCGGCGGCGGGCGGGGGCCGGCGCTACCTGTGGCGGGGCTGCCGCCGCGACCTCGCCCCGGAGGCGCCTCACGGGCCGGGGCCGGAGCCGGGGCCAGGGGCGGGAGGGCGTGAGGCCGACTACGCTCCTGCCCTGCGGCCGCGGCGTCGCGCTCCTGCCTTCTCCCGGGCGCGGCGTCGCGGGAGTAGGGCTTCTCAGGAATGTGGTCTGGAGGGCGGAGCTGGCAGGGTGGGAAGCACCGATCCACCTTATCGCTCTGGCCGAGGCCGGAGACCTCCGGGAGAGACTGGGCCACCAAGGCGAGCTTCCTGGTCGGAGGGTCCGGGCGTGGGGCTTGGAGCTAGAGCCCCGCGAGCTGCTTTTCCAGCCGCCTGCGGCCGCGCCTGCACCGTCGAGGCGATCGCTGTGGCAACTTGGCTGCGGCTCCGCGTGGTCTCCAGGCTTCCCCGCGCCGCCTGAGCCGAAGCTGCCCGCTTCAAGCGCTGTGTATTTCTTTGTGTGTGTGTGTTGTGCTTTTAAGTACTCTCTTAGGTAATATGTCCGGGTGGGAGTGTGTGATAATGCCCCGGGGAAATGGTGGCTTCGAGGAAGTTAAAAATGTTCTCTGGTGGGGTGAGACCATTTCCTAGGAATTCCTGGTGCCTTCCTGCTTTTCGCCTTGCCTAGGTGAAGTTTGGGATGGGCCAGGCTGGGAGATGACCGAGTCGTGCGTTCTGTTTTCTAACCACCTTCTCCCCCACCCCCAGCCCTCTCTGGTTGCTAGAGGCGGAAAGTCTAGGGTTTGTGGTAAAGAAAAGGGAGGTGGAATTCTTCCTTCTTAGAATTTGCTCTTGGGGAGAGGTTTGAGTAATCTTTTTTGGGATTTTTAAAACACAAAGCCCCGATGTCTTCCTGCTTTTGTCAACCTAAAAGGTGTGGCATATGCTGGGAGAGAACGAAGGTACCCTGTTATAACAGGTAACACGGGTATTTTCACAGTATCTAGAGTATGAACGGTGAAATTTTTTTTTCTGGTTTCCGTTTCACCCATTTGTTATTAATTGGGATACCTGATTAGCTTATTTCACTCAGTGTTTATAGTGACATTAAAATATTGTTAAAATATTGAATACTGAAACAAACGTGATTGTCACCTTTCACATTGAGTAAATGAGCAATAATCGTTGCTATAATATTCCCTGGGATTACTGCTGCTAAAACCTTTGTATCCAGGAAGAAAGGATGTTTATGTAATGAGCATTTACAGTATGCTCATTAGTGGGTTAAAAAGAAATCACTGAGCAAGAAGTGAGATTGGTTTAAGTTTAGCAGGCTGCAGAATCAGGGATGCTGTCAGGTTGCTGTTTCCCTAGGGCACAGATAAATTGTTCGTTAACTAATGGCAAAGCAAAACAATTTATACCTAACCCTTTCTTTGGGGACTAGTCTGATGGCTGGTGGGTAGGGAGTAGTGGAGGAGAAATCTATGAGTGGGAGAATAATCTTGGGTTCCAATATGGATACTGTTAACTAAAAGATTTGAACTACTAATATTTAATTTTTTTTAGGAAGGGGCCATCCGAATTATTTGTGTCCATGTTAATTAAGGTGTTGGGTCTTTTTGTTTTGGGGGAGTAACATTAAAAGCCATTAAGAAAGCAGTAATCTAATAAATAATATTAAATGTTAATTTAATAAGTGATATTAAAAGCCATTAAGAAAGCTAACGCCTGTAATCTCTGTACCTTGCAAGGCCGAAGTGGGCAGATCACCTGAGGTCAGGAGTTCAAGACCAGCCTCGCCAATATTGGCAAATCCCCATCTCTACTAAAAATACAAAAATTAGTCTGGCATGGTGGTGAGCACCTGTAGTCCCAGCTTCTTGGGAGGATGAGGCTACTTGGGAAAATCGCTTGAACAGGGAAGGTGGAGGTTGTGATGAGCCAGGATTGCGCTACCGCACTCCTGCCTGGGCAACAGAGACTCCACCTAAAAAAAAAACCAAAAAACAAAGCATTAATTGCTGTTTTCCTAGTAATTTGTAGAATTCGTTTGTTGAAGAAATACCTCCATTATGAATAGTATAGGACCTAGATGCTCTAGACGATATCAAAGAAGTAAAGGAAGCAGGTACGCATGAGAAAGACATATATGTATATATATACTTCAGCATGTGTGTCTTTTAAAGCTCTCATTTATTGGCTATGAGAACATGGTCAAAATATTCAGCCTCTCTGAGCCTCAGTTTTCTCACCAGTAAAATGGGTCTGATTACACATTCTTTATAACTTTTAAATGATGACAAAGATAGTAGCATTACATCTAGCATGTTGTTTGTGGTCAGTAATGGTAGGTGTTATCAGTGTTTATGCCTACAATTCTGTAATATGTTTAAATGCAGAGAGAATTCAGACTTGGAAAAGTCAATGTGGAAACAATTGTTAGGCCAGGCGCGGTGGCTCACGCCTATAATCCCAGCACTTTGGGAGGCCGAGGCGGGTGGATCACGAGGTCAAGAGATCAAGACCATCCTGGTCAACACGGTGAAACCCCGTCTCTACTAAAAATACAAAAAATTAGCTGGGCATGGTGGTGCATGCCTGTAATCCCAGCTACTCAGGAGGCTGAGGCAGGAGAATTGCCTGAACCCAGGAGGCGGAGGTTGCGGTGAGCCGAGATCGCGCCATTGCACTCCAGCCTGGGTAACAAGAGCGAAACTCCCATCTCAAAAAAAAAAAAAGAAAAAATTGTTAAAAGCACATTGTAGGCTTGGTAGTAGGGAGAATGGAAATGTCATATTTGGGAGTCATATGGGGGGGGGAGTGGGACCGATAGTTGATTTGGGACCTATCATTTGGGCTCTGCAAAAAGCAGACTTTTTGGAGAGACAGGAACCCGACCACCTGGATGCAGTCTGAGCTCTACCACTTGCTGTATGTGTAATTTTAGGCAGGTTACTTAACCTCTCTGTACCTCAGTTATCCCCATCTGTAAAATGGGGAAATATGGTGGACTGTATACGCTGTGCAATTAATGAATAAACATGCCAAGGGCTTTAGAACAATGTCTAGTATAGTATATAGTAAAGCTGCATACGTTATTATATTAATTTTAGATTATGGAGCTAAAGTGACTGTTTATATTTACACTTAATAGGGTAACTATTCATTGACCGACTCCTGGGGTGTTAAAATTCATTTCACTATGATTGTTCAGCAGTAGTAACTGGAGGGAGAGAACACAGCAGACTAACCATTTTATTTTATTTTATTTATTTATTTATTTTTTTGAGACGGAGCTTCGCTTTTGTTACCCAGGCTGGAGTGCAATGGCGCGATCTTGGCTCACCGCAACCTCCGCCTCCTGGGTTCAAGCAATTCTCCTGCCTCAGCCTCCCGAGTAGCTGGGACTACAGGCGTGCGCCACCATGCCCAGCTAATTTTTGTAGTTTTAGTAGAGACGGGGTTTCACCATGTTGACCAGGATGGTCTTGATCTCTTGACCTTGTGATCCACCCGCCTCGGCCTCCCAAAGTGCTGGGATTACAAGCGTGAGCCACCGCGCCCGGCCCAGACTAACCATTTTAATAAGCAGAAGTCAGTTCTCTTTGTAGGAGATTAGAATGCACAAATTGGTCTTAATTATTTTTTTAAGACTCCTGAAATACTAGGCTCTTTCTACAATTTTTGGTATATATTTGTCTACTATGTAATCTTGAGCAGAAAATAAATGTAAAATTGGGAATGGAGAATTTAAAAACAATGCCTTTTACCCTTTCTTTGACTCAGATTTAGTTGTTACCTTCTATTCATATAAAGAGTTGGAAAATTAGGAAATTAAGGTAATTGAGATATATTTTTCTTTTTAAAATACAACAAATCATAAAGTAGCCATGATAAAATGTAAAGTATTATGTTTAATGAGTATATATATGTACATGACCTCCTCCTTTCTGTTGCTTATAGTTTTTTGAAAAACTTTAAAAGTTCTCTTGGTAAGCAGAACACCTGAATAATGAGTAAACTCTAGGTAGGAAATAACTTCAAGATAGTACAGAGTGATTAGGAGAGACTGCTGGGGATGTAGGGGCGGCGGTCTCAGTCTCTCTACCCAGGTGACTTTAGTAGTCTGTTAATCTGCCTTTATCGCAACTGAGCTTCTGTTTCTTCATGAAAGATTGGGTTTGGTTGAACCAATTTCTGCACCTTTGAAATTCTAGGATTTTTTTTTTTTCTCATTTAACTAGCGTGTGTCTTTAGTCAAGTTTCTTAGGTTCTCTAAACCCAAGTTTCACCATTTGAGAAGGGAGAATAATATTAAATAATAGTACCCTTAGGTTTTTTGGAGTAAATAAAATAATGCAGGTAAATCATTCAGCACAGTGCCTTCTACAGAGTAAGTAAGAATTGTTTGCTGGGCATGGTGGCTCAAGCCTGTAATCCCAGCATTTTGGGAGGCCGAGGCGGGTGGATCACTTGATTTCAGGAGTCTGAGATCAGCCTGGCCAACAGGGTGAAACCCCACCTCTACCAAAAATGCAAAAATTACAGGCATGCACCAACACACCCAGCTAATCTCAGTTCTTCAGGAGGCTAATTCAGGAGAATAACTTGAACCTGGGAGGTGGGGGTTGCAGTGAGCCAAGATTTTGCCTCTGCCCTCCAGCCAGGGATACAAAGTGAGACTCCAGCTCAAAAAAAAAAAAAAAAAAAATTGTCGGGTGGTGGGGGCCACGCCTGTAATCCCAGCACTTTGGGAGGCCGAGGCGGGTGGAT